CCGCGACGCTCCTTCTGCTGCTGCTGCTGCTGCAGCATCTGCTGCTGCTGCTGCTTCTGCTGCTGCTTCGGTCTCCTGCTGCTGCTCAGGCCCCACCATTCCTGCTGCAACCATCAGCGGCAGCAAAGCTTCTATATAGCCGTCTGCGGGGGCCCCCCCCTCAGCTGCATTGGGGGGCCCCCCAGGGGGGCCCCCCAGTACCCCCTGTGGGTCCTTTGAGGGTTCTTGGGGCCCCAGAGTACCCTGTGGGGCCCCGGGGTCCCCAGGGGCCCCTGGGGGCCCTGGGGCCCCCTCTGCATGCACTGCAGGGCCCTCTGCATGCGCTGTGGGGCCCCCCGGGGGCCCCCCGGGGGGCCCCCCTTGAACAGAAGGACCCTTTGGGGTCCCTGGGGGGCCCCCTGCATGCGCTGGTGAACCCTCTGCATAAGCTGGGGGCCCCCCTGGGAACTGGTCCCCAAGGGGGGGGCCCCCAGGGGCCCCCAGAGGGGGGTCACTGGGGTGCTTCTCTGGCTCTGCTGCTGCTGCTGCTGCTGCTGCTTCCTTCATTAGGTTGAACTCAGGAAAATAATTCAGGGGCGAAGGGAATATGGGGGCGTGGGGACCGAAACCCTAAACCCTAAACCCTAAACCCTAAACCCTAAACCCTTGAGCTTGGGCTGGAGGGTTTTCGAACAGTCACAAAGCAGCATCAGATTGAATAATTGATTTTAAATAATTATTTTATTTGTTTTCTAAAAGCAAAAAAAGAAAAGAAAAGAAAAAACAAAACAGCAACGGGGGCCCCAGGGCCTCGGCAGCCGTTGAGACTGCCTGAACGCTAAACCCTAAACCCTAAACCCTAAACGCGAAGCCTGAAGCTGGAGCCCTAAACCCTAAACGCTAGACCACAAACTACAGATTTAAGCTGGAAACAAACCCTAAACCCTAAAAAGGGTTCTTTTAAAATCAATTTCATATTCCTCTCCAGTCGCTGCTGCTTCGCTCGCTGGGGTGTATGTACACCTGAACAGCTGTCTGCCACAGGAAAGTGAAAACTCGAAACTCGCTTTCCACTAGGGTTGAGGGTTTAGGGTTTAGGGTTTAGGGTTTAGGGTTTAGAGTTTAGGGTTTAGGGTTGACAGCTTCGCCGTGAGGGTTCAGTGTAAGGGGTTTAGATCTAGGGTTTCGGCTGCAGCGTCTAGGTTCGAGGGTTTGGCGTTTAGGGTTTAGCATTAGGGTTTGGGGTTTAGGGTTTAAGACTAGGATTTAGGACTTTGGGTTTTCGACTAGAGTTCTAGGGTTTGAAGTTAAGGGTTTAGTGTTTGGGAGTTCGAAGTAAGGGTCTAGTGTTCAGGGTTCAGGGTTTAGGGTTTAGGGTTTAGGGTTTTGGGTTTACCAGGGCTCGAGCTCTCTCCCTTTTCCGTTTCTTAATTAAAAAAGAATTGCATAAATCAAACCAAACGCAATGGCGGCTTTCCTGTAGCTGGAGGGCCTTAGAAAACTCGCTTTAGGGTTTAGGGTTTAGGGTTTAGGGTTTAGGGCTTAGAGTTTGGGGATTACAGACGAGATTTCAATGGATGTAAACAGCAACACACGTGCAAAAGGCTGGACTCTCCCTCTTGGGGGCCCCAAAGGGGCCCCCAGAGGGGCCCCTAGGGGTCCCCTGGGGGGCCCCTTATGGGCCCTTTGGGGGCCTCTTGGGGGCCCTACGGGGGCCCCTTGGGGGTCCCTTGGTGACCCTTTGAGGGCACCTTCGGGGCCCCCTTGGGAACCCCCTGGGGGCCCCTCTGGGGGCCCCTGATGGAGGCCCCTGATCCTTGAGGGCACCTTGAGGGCCACTTTGAGGGCCCCTTGATGGTATTATGGGGCCCTTTGGGAGGCCCTTTTGGGGCCCCTAGAGAGTTTCTTGAGTCCTTTTTAGGGGCCCCTTGGGGGCCTCTTGGGGGACCCTGGGAGGCCCCCAAACTTCCCTGGTGGGCCCATTGGGAGTTCATTAATGTCCCATGGGGCCCCTTTGATGGTAGCTGAAGGGGGCCCCTTTAAAGCCCCTTAAGGGCTCCTTGGGGGCCCCTTAAGGGTCCGCTGGGGGTCCCCAAGGGGCCCCTTGGGGGCCCCCAAGAGGCGTTGTTGCATCTGGAGCTGGTCATCTTTGAGTTATTTTGCGACAAATAATAAATTGGATTTAGTAAAAAACAAATTAATAGAAGGCATTATTAGTTTGCTAAAAATGTTAAAATGGTTCTCTTTTTGTGTTTTATAAAAAGCAGATTTCAGCAGCACAAGTTCAGGTGTACGTACACCGCAATCTGCTCGTGTGGGCTGCTGGGAGCTGTACATACACTTGAAAAGACGAAACGCAATTTAAAGGAAAATAACTTTTGTTTTTGAATAAAAAGAATGAAATCCATTTTTGTTTTCACATATAGATGAATAAGATCGAATTAAAAAGAAGATTAATTCAAAAAAGAAAAAACTAAAATTAAATTTAAAATTTATTTTGCAGATTTGTGAAGTTGGAAGTGTACAGACACTCGACAGACTTCATGTTAGCAAATTTCAGATTTAGAATGTTCTGCAGTTTTGCTTATTTCTGGCCAACAAGAAAAGATAAAAAATATTTTTTTGTTTATTTAAATGCACACTTGGCATTTTGTTTCTATTGCAGAGAAATCCGTTTTAGATCTGCATGCATGCAAGTCTCCTGGAGTGTACGTACACCTGATTTTGCTTCATATTTATTTATATATACATTTATGCCTGTGTTTACATATAAGTATTTTTACTTTTATCTTTACTTGAAATTACATTCATATTTATATTTATATTTATATTTATATTTGTATTTATATTTATATTTATATTTATATCTATATTTATATTTATATTTGTAATTAAATTTATATTTATCATTATATTTATAATTATAATTATAATTATATTTATATTTATATTTATATTTATATTTATATTTATATTTATATTTATATTTATATTTATATTTATATTTATATTTATATTTATATTTATACTTATATATAGATATATGCAGAAGTCTATGCCTGCGTGTTTGCATTATCTACAAAGATGTATTTATTTGTAATAAAGCATTTAAATTACATTTTCATATTTTGAAGATCTTTTTGTAAAACAACAAAAAGTCAAAATTAATTTCGTTTTATATTTTGTCTTTTCTTTCTTTCTTTCTCTTCTTCTGCTTCTTTGCCTCTTTTTGTCAATTCATTTCCAAAGAGAAATAAAAGAATTTAGCGAAGCTGGACGCACACAATTGCTTTATTTTATTTTGAATTTGCTTTTGTTGGCTGCCGTTTTTTATTAATTCGCATTCTTTGGCTGTCTGTACACCCGAGAGCATCGTTAAGAAATGAAGAAGTAGAGTAGAGCTATTTTGCGTCAATTGTTTTATTTCTTGTTCAGTTCTTTTGATTTCTTGATGTTTCTTTTTGCCTTTTTGCTGCTGCAAACTGGCAGCGCAATGGGGAAGGCCTTAGGGCTGCTTTTAAAGTTGTAAAATAATTATAAATAAAAAAATAATAAAAAAGAGCCTTCAATTTGAGGTGGAGATACACCCGAAACAAACCGCGGAGACCTGTTTGCAGCGGCCGACGCCGCTGGGCGGTCGGGGGTTCTCAGCGGCAGTGGAAAGGGTGGATAAAATCGGCGCTGCTGCTTCTCGTGACCGTTTAAACAATAAAGCAAAATAAAATAAAGTTTAAAAAGTAAAAAAAATAAAATTTGACGGAAGAAACGGACAGGCAGGGGGCGAAACCTCTCGAGCTCAGCTGTACGTACAGCTGGTGCTCACCGCCCCAGTCGCCGCCGCGCCGCCGCATGTGAATACGGCGTTCAAAATGGACCAAAAAGAGGCATTTTTGGGGTTATTTCCCTCGCTTTATTTGATTTCACTTCAAATTTTACTCCAAATCGCTTGGATCCCTCCAGATCATCCGCGGATCCACTCCGGTTTCCTCTTCAAACAGCCACTCCGCCGCGTTCCCGCGATCCGCCTTCGACTGCGCGCCACCGCCGATCTTCCTCTTTTCCAATTCCACTAGAAATCGCACTTTTTGTTTTATTACCTGTTGGGAAAAAACTGGAGGAAAAGCGCGTCATTTCCGGGGAAACGGAGGGCGTTGCTGCGGTGTGCAATCGACGGGTTTCCGGCGGAATCTCGGGACATTTTGTTCATTTTTTTCTCCTTTTTCTCCTCTTTTCCTTCACACTTGTTAAGTATTCTTTTATTCCTTTCAATTTCGCGTTTTGAGGCCCGGTTTCCCGGCCGCTCGCGAGCCGCAGGCGACGGAAAGAGCAGGCGGATGGAGCCCTGCGCCGCGGCCGCAGCAGCTCCTTTGGCCCGCCTCTGAGTCGAAGACCTTTCTTGCAAACATTTCCCCGGCCCTTTCCCCTTTGTCTCTTCCCCGATGGCGGCCCCGCCCCCAGCAGCCCGCTGCAGCAGCAGCAGCAGCAGCAGCAGCAGCGGCCGCCGGCGCAGCACGCGCAAGCGCAGCAGCCCCCGCGCCGCCAGCAGCAGCGCTCCCGCCCCCCGCCCCGCCCCCCGCAGCAGCAGCGGCAGGAGGAAGCTGCGTCGGCTGTGCGTGCTGGGGATCTGCGCCGCGCTGTGCTGCAGCAGCAGCAGCAGCAGCAGCAGCAGCAGCAGCAGCAGCAGCGCGTGGGGCGCGTGGGGGCTGCGGAGCGTGGAGACGCCCAGCTCGCTGGCGAGCAGCACGGGCCTCTACCTGACAGACGCAGAAGTGGAAAGCGCAGGAGCAGCAAAGCTGGGGTTTCGCGAAGACAGCAGCTGCCTGCTGGGGGCCCCCGCGCCAGCCAACCTTGCTGCAGCGCAGCAGCAGCAGCAAGTGGCCCCCTTTCTGTGGGGCTTCCACAAAGAAGACCAAGTCTTCATGGGGGCCGAGCTGCAGGCCCGCCAAACGAAAGGGCCCGAGTTCCCGGGGAGAGAAAGTCAAAGTTTTTTGTCTTTTAGAATTCCCGAAGAGACTTTCGAGAACGGAAAGGCTTTGCTGCGCCTCTTCACGCTGCCCCCCGACAGCAGCAGCAGCAGCAGCAGCAGCAGCGGCAGCTGCAGCAACCCCACGCTCGCCGTCACCCGCATGCTCGACGACAGCTACCGCAACGCCAGGGACGACTCCCGCGCCAGCACCGAGCAGGTCCAGCAGCAGCAGCAGGTGCAGCAGCAGCAGCAGGAGCAGCAGCAGCAGCAAGCAGCAGCAGCAAACCAGTACGAGGAAATCGACATTTCTTCTCTTTTCTACGGAAAGGGCCTCAAGGGGGGGAACCTCCACCTGCGGATTCGGCAGCAAAGTCAGAACTGCCTCACAGACTTCGCCCCCCCCGGCAGCAGCAACCCCCCGCTGCTGCTGCTGCAGGTGCTGCGTGCTGCTGCTGCTGATGCTGCTTACGACAGCTGGGGCCCTTTTGCTGCATGCAGGGCCTCCTGCAGGTCCCCCCAAAACCACCAGTGCCGCAAGAGGGCCTGCATGCCGGGGGTGGGGCTTGGGGCTGCATGCGACCCGCAGCAAATGCTGCAGATCATTCCCTGCACTGCTGCTGCTGCTGCTGCTAGCTGCAGCTGCACCCAGCTCCAGGCCGAGGGCCTCTGCCCCCTCAACGCCGAGTGTACAGACACCGCAGACGGCGCCGTCTGCTCCTGCCCTGGCACCTTCCGCAGGGAGAGCTTCGGCACGGAAACCATTTGCGATCTCTGTAACCATTTGCTGCTGCTGCTGCTGCTGCTGCTGGTTGTGCGGCGGAGGGGACGGCTGCTTGGGCGGGTTGCGCTGCTGCCGCTCATTCCGGTGATGCGGGTCGTGCTGGCTATGGTGCTGCTGCTGCTGCTGCTGATTAGGATGCTGCTGCTGCTTATTAGGATGCTGCTGCTGATGCTGTTGCTGCTGCTGATAATGGTGCTTAGGCTGGCTGGGGCGCCTTTGCTGCTGCTGCTACTCATGCTGCTGCGTGTGCTGCTGCTGCTGCTGCTGCTGCAGCAATGGTGAATGGAACGAACAGCACAACGACATACACGTCTTGGAGCACTGCAGCAACAGCAGCAGCAGCAGCAGCAGCAGAAGCAGCAGGAAACAACAGCAACAACAAACTTTGGATTATTATTGGCTGCGTCGGCGGTGTGGTGCTGCTGGCCTGCGCCGTCTTTATTGGTCAGCAGGAGCAGCAGCAGCAGGAGCAGCAGCAGCAGCAGCAGCAGCAGCAAGCCGCTCCATTTTTTTCTCTCTCTTTTTCCCAATTTGCTGCTCCTCGTTGCTGCTGCTCCTTGTTGCTGCCGCTCCTTGTTGCTACTGCTCGTTTTGCTGCTGCTCCTTGTTGCTGCTGCTCCTTGTTGCTGCTGCTCGTTTTGCTGCTGCTCGTTTTGCTGCTGCTCGTTTTGCTGCTGCTATTTTTTGCTGCTGCGCGTTTTGCTGCTGCCCCCGTTTGCTGCTGCTCTTTCTGCGGTGAAAAGTTTTTTGCAAAGAAGATAAATGCAGCGAGTAGTCTCTTTTTGTCTCTTTTTTGTTTTTTTAAATTTTTTTATTTTTCCGTTTTTTTGTTTTTCTTTTTCCCTTTTTGTCTCCTCCAATATTTCTTGAATTGCCTTTCCTTGCTTTTGCTTTGTGGCTTCTCTGGAGGGATGGTGGATTTGCCATTTATGCTTTGAAGGGTTTAGGGTTTAGGGTTTAGGGTTTAGGGCGTCGCTTGTGTCTTTTAATATGGAAACGTGCACACGTCCAGACATGCCTGTATGCATTCAAATAAATGACCGGCTGAAATAACAAGTTGCTAGGGTTCAGGGTTTAGGGTTTAGGGTTTAGGGTTTTGCTTTTTTGTGGCCTCAGTGATGCAGCCAAAGGGGCCCCCCCGCAGGGGCCCCATGCCCCCCGAAATGGGGGGGGCCCCCCAGGACTTTGGGGGCCCCTATTGGCAGGGGGGCCCCCAGGGTATGCCCATGGGGTACTCTCCGGGGGCAGGGGGCCTCGGGGGGAGGCCCCTGGGCCCCCCCCGGGGCTTTTAGCGAGAGAAAAGCAGCAGCAGCAGCGGCAGCAGCAGCAGCAGGAGCAGCAGATGCTGCTGCAGCCGTTGCTGCTGCAGCAGCAAGGCAGCAAGGGGCCCGCACAAAAGGCACATATCGCGGGCCACCAGAATCCCTTTGGGGAAATTCCAGAGACCTCAGGGGGCCCCCACAAAAGGTCTTTAGGGGAGCCACGAAAAGGGCCTCTAGCGGGCCCTTTGGAGAGCTTCAGGGGG